GTATTTGCTAGTGATACATCTAACAAGGGGTTAGTATCCAAAATTTATAAAGAATTCGTATTACTCAACCACAAAAAACCCCCGAACAATCCAACTAAAAAATGGGCAGAGGACCTGAATAGATACTTCCCCAAAGAGGACATATAGCCGAAGCCGGTTTGGCTCGGTGGATGGAGCGTCAGCCTGCAGACTGAAGGGTCCCAGGTTCAATTCTGGCCAAGGGCACATGCCTGGGTTATGGGCTCGATCCCCAGAAGGGGGCATGCAGGAGGCAGCTGATCAATGATTCTCTCTCATCTTTGATGTTTCTATCTCTCCTTCTCCCTTCCTCTATGAAATCAATAAAGAAATATATTTAAGAAAAGGATGGATGGTAGTGCTGGTGCCAAGGCGCATTTGGCCCCACTGCAAACTCAGGGCTCCGTCTGCACAGTTGGGTTATTTTGCTTTATCAGCGCTCAGTTGGTGCAGGAGCAGAAGAGATGGACAGGGAGACAGGAATCCAAGTTTAGGTTTTGCCTGATGGGTACAGCAGGATTGCAGAATAATCAAATAATTAGTCCACGATCTTGGCTAGATCCGGAAGGATGGGCAGTCAGAGGGGAGAAAATGGGATAATAATGGGACTATAGGAATGTGAGGGTTAGAAAGTTGTAGCAAAGAGAGGAAAGATGCACGGGTTGACTGAGTTCTTTGTTCTAAGTAGGAACCACGAGGGAGAAAATGACATTAAAAGCTTACTGTATGGCCGAAACCGGTTTGGCTCAGTGGATAGAGCCTCGGCCTGCGGACTGAGGGGTCCCAGGTTCGATTCCGGTCAAGGGCATGTACCTGGGTTGCGGGCACATCCCCAGTAGGAGATGTGCAAGAGGCGGCTGATCGGTGTTTCTCTCTCATCGATGTTTCTGACTCTCTATTCCTCTCCCTTCCTCTCTGTAAAAAATCAATAAAATATATTTAAAAAAAAAAAGCTTACTGTATGCACAGGTACATGAGAGAGAGAGAGAGAGAGAGACAGACTTTCTCTGCCCTCCTGAAGCTTCTGGGGTTGGAGGAGATAGAAACATTTAAACTTGCAGACAGTGCAGGTTGGTTTGCTGAAAGAGAGATGAACAAGGCACTGCGGAGCATAGCAGAGGCTGCCAGTGAGGCCCCAGGGGAGCGAGTTTAGGTCTAGCTCATCCTGTGGCGTGTGCCAGGCAGGCATCATGAGAGCAGGCAGTGCATGATAGTGCGGACAAAGGCAGCCCTAGTGAACGGTGAGGAGTCTGTCACGGCTGCGGTATATGGGTGGGTGTCTCTGCCTGTCAGAATATATACATTTCACTTACTCTTTTGAGAAGGACATTTTTATATTATAGTTGTATTTCATTTTGTGTTTTACTATACTTATTATTGAACATTTCCAGTTTTTTTGCTTTCGTGAACAAAGTTGAATAAAATATCTTGAAGCCACATTTTTTTGTACAACTTTAGTTTTTTCTTAGCATCAGTTCAGTAAGTGGAGTTTTGGGTCAAAGGGTATAAACTTCTTAAAGATTTTTCTGATTTAATTTGGTCTTCTGAGAAGCAATTCCAGTTAACACTCCACCAGCAGTATTTGTGAGTACCAAGTTTCCTGTGGCTTTATCAGAACTTAGAATATTTTTGTAAAATTTATTTTTATTGATTTCAGAGAGAGAGAGAGATAGGAACATCAATGATGTGAGAGAATCATTGATCGGCTGCCTCCTGCATGCCTCACACTGAGGATGGAGCCTGCAACCCAGGCATGAGCCCTGACCTGGAGTATTATCTTTTATCTTTCTCTTCTGACTTTGATACATTTGTTTGGTGAAATTTGTTTCAATTTGCATTTAAATGAGACTTTTTTCTTTCCAGGGGAAACTGGCTCTGGGAAGACCACTCAGCTCCCTCAGTACCTCTATGAAGGGGGCGTTGGCCGCCAGGGCATCATTGCTGTGACCCAGCCTCGGCGAGTGGCGGCCATCTCTCTCGCTACTAGAGTCTCAGATGAGAAGAGAACTGAACTCGGGAAGCTGGTACCTAATTTGCTTCTTTACAAAAATTTCTCCCTCCCCTGCCTTTTATTTTTCTGAACAAGACTTCTTTTTAAATTTTAATTATTTTTATTGATTTCAGAGAGAGAGAGAGAATCATTGATCAACTGCCTCCTGCAAGCCCCACACTGGGGATCAAGCCTGCAATTGAACCATAACCTCCTGGTTTACAGGTCGACGCTCAGCCACTGAGCCACGCCGGCTGGGCTGAATAAGACTATACAGAACAAGCTTCTTTCCTGCCACAATTGTCTAGGTCTTTCTCAGAGTTCTTTACCAGTTCCTGAGACCAGAGGGTCTGATCAGACCCATTTGCTTTGCTTTCAAAATCTGTTGGCAAGTTGGATAAATTAGTTGTTTTCCTTTGAGCATTTTTAAAAAAATATATTTTATTAATTTTTTACAGAGAGGAAGGGAGAGGGATAGAGAGCTAGAAACATCGATGATCAGCTGCCTCCTGCACATCTCCTACCAAGATACATGCCCTTGACCGGAATCGAACCTGAGACCTTTCAGTTCGCAGGCCGACGCTCTATCCACTGAGCAAAACCGGTTATGGCCCTTGAGCATTTTTAAGGCTTCACTATCTCTGTATCTCTCTCGAAAAATTTTAAGCATTTTCTAGCATATGTGTGCGTATGGAGAATGAGTCCCAGAACTGTGCATAAATTAGATTTATTTGTGTGTGTGTGTTTATGTATTTCACTTAAAAACATCTTGGATGTCTTTCATATCAGTACATAGCTTCTCTTGAAACTATTAAGTAGCTGGGGGTAGGAGGCTAGTTTTAAATCTTGGTCATGCTACTTATAATTGCAGTTAAAGGTACATGCCCACTGTCCGTGTCAGCCACCAGACTGCCTGCTGCCTGGGGAGCCGGGCAGTCAGTGTGGGTCTTGTTCACTGTGATAGCACAAGTGCCTGGCCCGGTGCTGGTTACCTAGTGGGTGTTGAGCATGCGTTTGGTGAAGGAATGGTTTCTCTGCACAGGTTGGCTATACAGTGCGCTTCGATGATGTCACCTCGGAAGACACCAGGATCAAGTTCCTGACAGACGGCATGCTTCTGCGGGAAGCAATTTCAGACTCCCTGCTTCGGAAGTACAGCTGTGTCGTTTTGGATGAAGCCCACGAGCGGACTATCCACACGGACGTGCTCTTTGGCGTGGTGAAAGCTGCACAGAAGAGGCGGAAGGAGCTGGGGAAGCTGCCTCTCAAAGTAGGTGCAGCGCGCTTCCTCCGTGTTCGCCTTTGCCCGTCTGCTTCAGAACCATGGACCGAGTTCACCTAGTGGGTGTGACAGGTTCCATCATCTGCTTTTAGAGCTTGGGGGGGACACAGAAAGACTGTCGCCACGTTTGTTTCCATCTTCCTCTTCCCTCTGTACCCAGGTGATTGTGATGTCAGCTACGATGGACGTGGACCTGTTCTCTCAGTATTTCAATGGAGCTCCTGTCCTCTACCTGGAGGGTCGGCAGCATCCAATCCAGATTTTTTACACCAAACAGCCTCAGCAGGATTACTTGCACGCCGCCCTTGTCTCAGTCTTCCAGATTCACCAGGTACGCGAAGCGGGGCGGAGTCCTGGAAAGGTCTGTTTCCCTCACGGCTGATAGAGTCCTCAGCCTTGGATGCTGACTGAAGCACTTGGGGAGCCGTGTCATTAGGATGAATGGGAATCTGGCCCTGGCCCTGGCCAGGTAGCTGAGTCGGTTAGAGTGTCTTCCCGATTTGCCAAGGTTTCAGGTTTGACCCCCCAGGTCAGGGCACATACACGGAGCAACCAGTGAATGCGTAAGTGTGGGGGACAACAAACTGATGTTCCTCTCTCTCCCAAATCAATCAATCAATAAAAAGATGAGTCAGGAATTTATTTACTATACCATGTCTCTCTTTTTATTTTTTGGGGGGTATCTCTTATTTTCTCTAAAAATAATTTAACTCTGACCAGTATCTTTCCTCACGCTGCCTCCTCTGTTACATGTGATGCTTTATGGTATTTTCTGCCTCATATTAAGAAAACGTTGGTATTGATCCAGTTTAGAGTTAAAACAAAACTGCATTAGAGAAACATTTCAAATCTTTTCTCATTGTATTAAACAATCATCTCATTTTTGTTTGTTTAATGTGTATAGAATTGACTGTTCTTACCTTCCCATTTGCTTTCTGAAAAAAATCTTGAGGCAAACGTTTTCAAATTAATTTTTTAAAGTGATGTGTGTGCAGTTTGGAGTTTAAAGGGTTAAGGAGTTAGTTTTATTTTATTTTTTTAAAATATATTTTATTGATTTTTTACAGAGAGGAAGGGAGAGAGACAGAGTTATAAACATCGATGAGAGAGAAACATCGATCAACTGCCTCTTGCACATCTCCCACTGGGGATGTGCCCGCAACCCAGGTACATGCCCTTGACCGGAATCGAACCTGGGACCTTGCAGTCCGCAAGCCGACCCTCTATCCACTGAGCCAAACCGGTTTCGGCGTTAAGGAGTTAATTTTAAAAGGCTCACACAAAAGCAGTTACTTTTACTCCCCATCCCAGGCCCTGCATTTTAGAGTAACCGCTTAACTTTTTAGCTGTTTCCCCTGGATATTACTTTCATATTTCTAAAATAACCTGCTTATATTGCTATTTGTTGACTTACTGATATTATGTTAATTTTTTACCATGGTAGGTGAGGATTTAGAAAAATCCCTTCTCTACCTCGTGCTTCTCTCCTTCATCCCCTCAACATAGTTATATCACAATGTATTTTTTTTAAGTTAGATAGTTCTAAATTTTATTACTTGCTCTGCCACTTACAAACTGTGTGAACATGTAAATTTTATATTTGTTCTTAAACCTTAGTTTTCTCAAATGAAAGGTAAAGGTAAACGTTCTGTCCATTTCAAGTAGCTAAGATGATAGTTCCACCTCGTCTGGAGAGGAAAGATTCCATGGCTAAAAATTCCACAATGTATTTTAAAACTAGTGTCATATTTACAATTTTATGTTCCTACATTGCTAGCAGTACACCATCTCAGTGACTCACTCCATGTACACACAGCTGTGTAAGTTTTCTGTGTCTGTATGGCTAATGTTTTCCCAAGTGGTCAAAAGTCTGTCATATGCCAATCACGAATATTTGTTATGTGTTCAAACATATTCCACTTTTCCCAGAGTCCTTTATGCTGCTCTCCTGGGCCTCTGTGTAGCTGTCATCCTGGCTCTTTCCTTTGTCATCCTCCGTGTTGAATCCCATTACAGCTCCCGTGTCTTCCCAGCCTCCTGGCTGCACCGGGAGGGGAGACCTGGGGGGGTTTAACCACACTGTACTCAGACTTTGAGCCAATCCCTGGGTTTCCACCCTCCCACAGCCCACCTCTGTGTTGCACCCAAGTCCTGAGCCTTTCTGGTTTCTCTGGGGACATTGGTGCATCTCTTGTCACTATTCCCTTTAGCAGGCACCCAGCCCGGAAAGTTCTCTGCCCAGCCCTGTCATGCACTCCCTTCCCCCATCTCTTCCATCTTTCAAAAATGGGTAGGCATTTCTAATCTTTCCTCCCATTGTATTTGTCTTTCTGGGCTTATACCTTTGCTGTCATCTTGATAGTATTTGGAGAAGAAGGTCAGTTTGCCTTGTTTAACTTCCAAAAGCCAACCTGAGGTGAGGCTTTTTCATGAATGGCAGCTGCAGGTGCATTCAGGTACGTGGTGGCTTTGATGAGTCCTCCCAATCGAAGCCATGATGAAGTTTTGACTGTTTTAGATTTCATCCTGTCTGTATGTCACTCTGAACATTTGTTCTTCCCTTTACCAGGTGAAGAGCTTCTGTGAAAGCCTAACGGTCCCACTTTCACTTTTGTACAGGAAGCCCCTTCCTCACAGGACATCCTGGTGTTCCTCACCGGCCAGGAGGAAATCGAAGCCATGAGCAAGACCTGCCGAGACATTGCAAAGCACCTCCCGGACGGCTGCCCCTCCATGCTGGTCCTGCCCCTGTACGCCTCCCTGCCCTATGCCCAGCAGCTCCGCGTCTTCCAGGCAGCACCGAAGGTGAGTGCACCGCCGCCTCTGTCCAGCCCCATCCCTGGGGACGCACGCGGATCCTCCCGTGGGGCCTGTAGGTATGCCTGTCACCAGACTCCAGATAAGGTATACAGGGCGGATGCTCAGGCACCAGATACAGTAGCTGAAAAGCTGTAGGAATATAACACGTAGCTGCAGCTGCAGCTCTCTCAAGGTAAGAACAGGGAAACGGTTGTCAGGGACGAGGGAGAGGGCAAAGGCAAAAGCTGAAGGGTAAATGAGTGAGTCTTCCAGGGTCCAACATAAGCCGCGTTGGTCCATAATAGCGTTTATTGGGCGCCCTGCTGTGCCAGGCACTGTGCTGACATGCTACACACACTGCCTCTCATCCTCTCGGGGGCTGGCAAGGTGGGTTATGGTCCATTTAATAAGCACTGAGGCCCAGAGGAGGGGAGTAACTGCTCCAGGGACACAGTAGGTAACTGGCAGCGCCAGGGTTCCAACCCACATCCACCTGCTTCTGAACCTTGTGCCTGTGCCGCTACATCGCATCGTCTCAAAGTAAGCTTTTAAGACTGGAATGTCCCCTCTCTCCCACCCAGTTTAGTGGCCCACCATCAATATTAATAACTCATTAGTAACAAAGTTATCTTTTCTTGATCGTGAGTGAATTATGGAAATTAATGGTGAGGACTGTTTTAAAACTTTTGAATCATATGTGTGTCATACAGCTTTTTGGTTTTCTTCCTCCTTTTAGGGCTACCGCAAAGTGATCATTTCAACCAACATCGCTGAAACCTCCATAACCATTACAGGAATAAAATACGTAGTTGACACGGGCATGGTTAAAGCGAAGAAGTATAACCCTGGTGAGAACGTGTAGCTGATGACTGTCTCTTCTGTGTGTAGTGAGCACCCACTGAGTTTCCTGTAGTCCCCCATTTCCCCCAATGAGCATTTCATGCTTGTAACTGACTGAGATTGGGGTGGCAGGCACCAAAAGTGAGACAGTGCAGGGGCGGGTCCAGAAAGGGGACCTGAGGCAGGTCTGTGAGACGAGAAGGCAGGGTAGAAAGAGAAGGCAGGCTTAACAAACTTGGGGACAGCGGTGTCTGAGACCCTGTCAGAAGGTGGGTGAGATGATGGCCCGAGGGCCAGAGATAGCCTGACACCACATCAAAGGCTCTCATCTTTGAGCTTGGCGGGGTCCAGCTCCAGGTTTCCCAGAATTCCCTGGGCTGGGTGCAGCACTAGCTGTTCCTGAATTTTCAGTGGGAAGCTTCCTTCAGTCATTTTCCTTCGTGTCTGTTGTATACCTTGCTTTAGTCTACAGAGGATTTGAGGCAGCTGAAATGATCGATTTCAGATTTTTAATTTAAATTCACTAAGTGCTGCCTTTCACTCTTAGCGATGACATGCGACAGGGCTCGGTTCTCAGTGCCTGGCACAGAGTGCACCTTTATGAAGAAAATCTCTCATTTACTCCTGCAGTAACATACATGGTCTCTTATTACGGAGGTGGGAGGGAGGAAACAGTATACAGGGCCTGGAGGCATTTCATTTCTGAGTCATTGATTGACAGGGTGACAGCTATCCTCGTTTGCCAGTGACTGTCCTGGTTTTGTCACTGAAAGTCCCAAGTCCCAGGCCAGATGGGGTGATTGTTACCATATGAGCTAAGCCAGACCTCTGAAATTTACTCTCCTGTCCCCCTCCTATAAGCATGAAGTTTTTCTGATGTTTTATTTTTTTTAAAACATATTTTTATTGGTTTCAGAGAGGAAGGGAGAGGGAGAGAGATAGAAACATCAATGATGAGAAAGAATCATAGATCAGCTGCCACCTCCATGCCCCACACTGAGGTTCGAGCCCGCAACCCAGGCATGTGCCCTGACTGGGAATCAAACCGTGACCTCCTGGTTCACAGGTCAACCATTGATGTTGTGATAACAGATTTCACAGTGTCCAGTACCAGGCCTCATTTCACTGCAGAACAGTCAGGTTTTGTGCTTTCTGATTTAGCCTTGAGTTTCTCTGGCTCGGTAATGCAGAAAGGATCACTGTGCTCTGAGCAATGCTCCTTTTGTCCGCACTGTAGAAGCAGTCTGTTTATGTGAAGGATGGGCAGAGCACTGATGTGGGCCACTCTCCCTCCAGACAGTGGCCTGGAGGTGTTAGCTGTGCAGCGGGTGTCCAAGACACAGGCGTGGCAACGCACCGGACGCGCTGGCAGAGAGGACAGCGGCGTCTGTTACCGGCTCTACACAGAGGATGAGTTTGAGAAGTTTGAGAAGATGACCGTGCCAGAGATCCAAAGGTGGGCCCGAGGTGCCCCGCACCCCTGCCACTGCCCCACACCTCCCTCCCTGCTGGCTCGGGTCTCCCCAGAGCTGCAGTCCTCACTGACACGCCGCGGTGGTGGTGCTGACTCGCAGGCTGGAGGATCAGGGGGGTGAACAGCGCACGTCTCTCACTCTGCACAGGTGTAACCTGGCGAGCGTGATGCTGCAGCTCCTAGCCATGAAAGTCCCCAACGTGCTCACCTTTGACTTCATGTCCAAACCGTCTCCAGGTGAGTGGGATCTTCGGTGGAGTGGAAGGTTACAAGTAGACAAACGACAGCAAAAGACTCCCAAAGCATTTTAGAGGTCTCCTTTGGTTTAGTCTGGTGGAGAACATGAATTGGCAGAGAGGTGTCTGACAACCATGAAGGATAGATGCGGTGCCATCAGCACCATCCCAGCACAGAGAGTGGCCTCGAATTGTACTTCTGCCAGCGAAAGGCCTGAAAATACCACGTTTCTGTGCTTTTGACTGGCATTTGGTCAGTTCTGGTCCTTCATTGACCTCTCCATGGAGGAAAAAGTAATTCGGATTTTCCTAACAATGGCAGCTTTTAGCACTTGACATCTCTTCAAGACATGGTTTTCCTTTCCTTTTTTCCCTCTTTTTATTAAGTGAAGAAATACAATTTTTTTAATATATATTTTTATTGATTTCAAAGAGGAAGGGAGAGAGAGATAGAAATATGAGTGATGAGAGAGAATCATCGATCAGCTGCCTCCTGCACACCTCTCCCCACTGACTGGGGATCAAGCTTGCAAACCAGGCATGTGCCCTAACCGGGAATCAAACCATGACCTCCTGATTTATAGGTTGATGCTTATCCACTGAGCCATGCCGACCGGTCTTGAACAGTATTCTTTAAGAAGAGGAAGAAGAGAAAAAAAAAGATAAAAAATACAAACAATAAAATGGCAATAAATACATTTCTTGCAATAATTGAATCTAAAATAAAAATAAACGAATAAGAAATCTAATGAACAAAATAGTCTTTGTTTCTCTCTCATCGATGTTTCTAACTCTATCTCTCTCCGTCTCTCTCCCTTCCTCTCTGTGGAAAATCAATAAAATATATTTAAAAAAAAATTTGACGGGTATACAAGGGTCCCACCCCTGATCTTCAGGTTCTTAGTTTCCTGTTCCTAGAGCAAACCATTTTCTAATTGTCTTCTAAAGAAATTCTGTGCATATACAAGTGTATATGATCTCTTTTAAAACACAAATAGTATACATTGTGCACTTTTCTACACTTATTTCCCGCCCCCCATTTTATTGAGATATAATTGACATACTTAATTGTATAAGTTTAAGGTGAACAGCTAATAATTTGCCTCACATAGGTTATGAAATGATTACCCCTTATAAGTTTAGTTAGCATCCATCATCTCATATAGATACAATAAAAAGAGAAAGCAAAAAAA